CTTCTTCTTCTTCTTCTTCTTCTTCTTCTTCGTCATCTTTATCAGCTTCGTTACTTTTGCTAAGCTTTTGTCTAGTTTTTTAATCTTACAACTACCTATTTGATTTTTATTAAAATTAATGTATTTTTGGATGTGATAGAAAAAGTGTGAGCTAATATTTAGGAAACTATTCACTGAAATTGCTTGATTTTTACGGTTAAGCAAAGAATGGTCAGTGAAAATTGGCATAATTCAAATGCCTGATGTATACACTTCGTTAAGAGTGCAATAAATTGCACTTGATTAAGGGAGGGGAGGGGAGGGGAGGGGAGGGGGGTCCAAAAATTCTTGGATTTGACAATCTGTTTTTACATCGTTTACTTCATCGTCGTCGTCGTCGTCGCCGTCTTCTTCCTCTTCTTCTTCACCGCCTTCTCAGTCTCCCCCCTGTATCGTATTACTTTCATAGCTTACTCTTTGCTGTTTAAAGTTGAACATCCGTCATCAAAATTTTATTTTTTGTTATTTTTACAGTGTATTTGCCGGCACTTTTTATTTATTAGCAGAACAACTGTTTCTCTGAACAAAGGTTACTGTTTTGAATTTTTTTTTTATTGTACTTTTATCTACTGCTCTTAAGAAACAAAAAAAAAGCAATTTTTTATGATAAAACATAAGTATATATTTGACAATTACGGGTAAACAGTTGGAGAGGAGGTTATTGCCTAAGAAGATTAGAATTGAGCAATAGGTTGACTGTAATTTAACATTTTCACTTTCGTTTTCGAAACGTTGTTGACTGTTTGTTTTCTAAATTGGTTAAAATTCAATTGAAATTTAATAAAGCTTTTTTCTTACTAATTTTTAAATAACCAGAACCAGTTACAGGAAAAAAAAAAACACAGAAACTTGAACTTATCAATTTGGTAATAAGTAAAATCGCAGTTGTCTTCCACATTTTGACAAACTATTTTATGTACAGTAAAAAAAGTTGAAAAATAATTGCATAAAAATTACTTTTTAGTTTTGTTTATAAATTTTATGCCACTGTAACTGTGTTCAAAATTTTCTTTGTTTGTCATATGATTTATGATCAAGACAGGGTAAAAAAAAAAGTAGACGACTTACAGGCAACAAATTATTCAAAACTTCTTCTTCTAATTCTTCTTTTTTGTGCTATTGCTGTTGGGACTATAAAATATAAAAATTAATAATTAAAGAAGTGAAAAAAAAAACCTGAATTTTAAACTTGATATAAAATTTTTTCTATTTATACAAAGTTTGTTTTACCCTTATTTACATCAAACGGCACGCAACTATGGATTTCTATTTTTTACATAGGCAGTTACATTCTGTAACCTAAAAATTCCTTTGCTTTTTTTTTTTTTTGTTTCTTCTGATCACCACTGTCAGCAACGGTAAAAGTATCATTAAAACATGGAAATGGAAACTGATGGGAGAGACGGGGCAAAGAGACGAGGAAAAAGGTAAGAGAGAAACGGAGAACGAAAGTGAAAAAATTTCAATGAATTCCGTTTGTTCATTCTGTTGTTTTCTTTTTCCACCTCTTTCTAAGCTCAATAAAAAAAACGATGACAGAGTTGTGAATTAGCGTTAAAAATTATAAATTTTTCACAATTCAAAAATATATCTTACAAAAAAAAAATTTTTTTTCTTAAAAGACAGCATTTTTCTTTTGTGACAACAACGGCAACAGAAAGGAGAAAAAAAAAAAAAGTAAAAAAAGAATTTTTTGTTAAATTTGCTAGTCATTTTTCAAAATTGATAGACACACACACAAAAAAAAAGTGAAGAAAAAAAAAGTTTTTATTGATTGTCTAAAAAGAAGAAAAATTGTTGAAAGTGAAAAAAAAAATATTTTTCTTTTTCCTTAAGTATGCGCAGTTTAATAGAAAATTAAGGCAATATTTGCAAATATAGCAGAAAAAAAAACACAGCCTTATTCTGAATCCGATAACAAATAATAGTGCCTTAATGAAGGCAGTTTATCATGAAGTTGCAGCAGCAGCAGCTCTTTGGGGCTCCAATGGCCAAATTAGTGATGATGAAGCTTTGTCCCCCAACCAACAACATCGTCCTCTCCATCGTCATCGTCATCGTCATCGTCATCGTCATCGCCGTCATCATCATCAGCATAATCATCAGCAACAGCAGTAACGCTCTAGACCGCTTTCCCATCCCTCTTAAGCAATCAAGTCGGCCAGATAAGCTGCTGCCCAGTTATATGGATCGGATGATCCGCGGGCGGACTCAACCTTAGTGACTGCTGTAGATTCAATTCCAAATATCTTCTGCCTACGTTTTTGTTGATGATGATGATGATGATGATGATGATCGGACATCTGTTATCGCTGAGGCAGAAAGCAACTCGACTACCAGTCGTCATATATTCAGTGCCAGCGGTATGGCTCAACCAATGTTTCCGGTTCATTTGCAATTATTAAATGTACTGCAACTTATTCTGTTCACTCCTCTTAGCCGTTGCCGTTCAAATGCAAATGGAAGTAAAGATGATTTTAGATATTGACATCAAATGAACAGCAAATTTATTTTTAAAACTACACGATGGTTTATGCATACTAATGGACTAGTAAGTTAGGTTTTATTTAATTTACCTCAAATGCTTTCTCTTTTTGATTCAAAAAAAAAAAAAATTTTTTTTCTTTTGGTTATTTGTAATATTTGTGATAGAAATAAAAAAAATTTCTTTTTTGTCATTTTTCGACTATTAC